TTATTTTACAGTTAAAATAAATGTTTATCAAATAAAGTTTAATGTTACAACTAATCGTGGATCCCTTTAAAACCACTGTTTTATGCTGACTAATGGTTTTCATGTGTGMCAGGATGCTTGTAGAGCGAATGCTACAAGACACCACGGATGATCTGACAGACCAGTGCTCCATGGTGGACCGGGCCTTCAGCCAGCGCTGTGAGGAGCTCATCGAGGCCAGGACCGAGCTGGAGCTAAAACTGTCTCAGGTGGACTAGCTGACTCAGAGACACAGGCTGACTAATGAGCAGACATTGACTGTTTTGTCACATCGGCAGATTTTAGAGCAAATTGGAGCCCAGGAGAAAAACATCGCGGCTCTACAGCAGTCCATCCACAACAAAGAGGCTCCGCTGAGAGTGGTCCAGTCCAGGCTCTACCTTCGCTCCCTCAGACCCAACATGGAGCTGTGCAGGGATCAGCCCCAGCTCAGGTCTGCACACACTAAACACTTCGTATCCTTTTCCTCCACGCTCTCAGTATGACTTGTGTTTGCAGTTTGGAGGGAGAGGCGAGGCAGCTCGGCGCCACCGTGGCCTCTCTGAACCAGAAGCTGAGCGAGGCCAGAAGCTCTCTGTCCCACCTGGAGGAGACCAGGATGGCCCTCGAGAAGGACATAAACTGTAAAAGCCACTCGCTGTTTATCGACAGGGAAAAGTGCATGTCGCACCGTAAACGATACCCCACAATCTCAGTGCTGAGAGGATACTAAACACGACAATTTGAGTGTTTGTTCAGTAAATTTTAGCTCGGTCATTTTGGTGAATTTCAGATTTGTGCTCGTTTTAGCTCTTTGCTGTGTGTTTTCTGTCATCACTGCTGTAAACAAGATCATCTGAAATAATAGAGCGTTGTAAGAGCTCTATGTTTTCCTTGACATAACCCATAAATTTAAAAAGTTTCTTGCATGCGCTCTGTTCTTGTTTTATCCCAGCATCAACTGGAGTCTCAAACAAACGTTGTGGGAAAAGGTTCTTTATGGGTCCATAAAAGGTGTGAAAAGAAAATTTTGTGTTGTGGTCCTTTATTGGCARCAAATCAATTCCTCATCAGAGCCTGTGTGTGTGATGGGATGAAGTGATAGATTTCTATTTAAGACTTATTTCCATTTAGTACCTACTGTATGTGGGTAAGACACATCAAGCCATTATAGAACTGATTGTTTTTGCATTGTTTGTTAGATTTTTTTCAGACCATTTGCAACTCACAAAAAAAAATCTGATTMTTTTTGAGCCCATTTTCTGTGCTCATTTATCCAAATATTACCAATTTCTACATGACCCATTGGGTTATTGTGCAACTCACAAAAAATCCAATTGTTGGCCAAATGTTCATCCCAGTTTTCAACCAAACAAAGGTAGAACAGAACGTGTGTGTTGTGTAAAACACGCTTTACTGTGAGGCAAACTGGCACCAGCACATCAACATCCTGTGTGCAACAGGATAACACATTTCACACCTTTTTTCTCTCAAAGCACAGTGTTACCCATGACTGAGAGGAGAGCATCAACCCTCTGACTCACACCACAGCGTTAACAGGAACTGGTAGCAGGAACTTGGCCCGATATACATGTACAGCGGGTAAAATAAGTATTGAACACGTCACCATTTTTCTCAGTAAATATATTACTAGAGGTGCTAATGACATGAAATTTCACTAGATGTTGGTAACAACCCAAGTGATCCATACATACAAAGAAATCAACCATAAAAGTTATTTGTAATAATGTGGAATGGCACAGGGAAAAAGTATTGAACACACTTACTGAAATTTATCTAATAC